AACTACCCTCATGGTCGCTAATGGTCGCAATAGCTTTAACTTGTCATTTAAATATGAAATTCAAGGCTAGCTGTAGGCAAATTCGAAACAACGTCGTGCCGGAGTCGTATCAAAGCCGTGCTTGCTAAGTCTACTTAGCTTACCTTAGTCTTAAAATAAAGAGTAACATTTAAAGTCATATCCCAAGTTTTTTAGGCCATTAAATCTTCGAAGTGGTTTTAAACCAATGATTCATCAGTTATGTTATGAAAACGATATAATACGGGGTGAACCCGTTATCTGTTAAATGACGTCTATAGACTTTTTAATTACTTTAAAGCATTTTGAGTAATTTTGCTTGTCTGATTTATAAGATTTGATAATCATTATTTTTAATTAAGATAAAATCAAGTTTATAATATTAAAAAAAACCTTAAGCAAGAACTTTCTCCTTTGTCATGGGTGCGTTTACAAACATAACAAGTTCACATACACATGGCACCCAGACCTGAAACCATAATATGTGGATTACAAAGAGAGCTCCGTGCGGGAATCGAACCCGCTACACGTTGCGCGGCAGCCGGTTGCCCAGCCATGACGCCAATCGTGCAGGTTGTTCAGAATAAATTGTTGGTCTTATAGTGGGAGTAAAGAGTATAGAACTTATTTCAACCCTTAAACACACGAGGAAAGACTAATAACATAAATTAACCATTATGATTCACATGGAACGTTCTTTAAGACCAAGAGAGAATATTAGTTGGTTTCCTTTAGGTGCCCTAACTAACCAACTAATTAATTATTTGCTCGATATTATTACTTAATATTAATAAATCAAAATCTTATCATTTTATTACAAAGTAAATGTGTTGATCAGATTAATATCAATTGAATTAAATAACTTCACAAATTATTTCGTTCAGTTTAACAAAATAGTACTTGTCAAACTCTAATTGTTGCATATTGTCTAAAAATGGTTTTAAAGACTTCACTCAATTTGTTAACTTTGTTTGTGATCAGCGAATCTTGTGTCACGTATAATTTCGAAGAACATTTCGACGGTTTGTTTAGTGATCATGGATTCTGTGCTGGCATGCCCTCATGGATTATCGGCGAATACAGGAATTTGGGATTAGCCAGACCAGATGAGCTCAGTAACAAGTTCATCAGACCAACACCTTACATGCACATGAGTTGTTCAACATCGTTCTACTTTACAATGCACTCGTCTGGTACACTGGAATTTAACATATTCATAGATTCAGAAGTCGCTAATGATCAGATACAAATTTTGGTCTTTGAAGTATTACCTGGTAGTTCTGTTACTATAGCAGCAATCGCCTTCGTAAGCGCCCAGACTGTAAAAGGATGGGCTACTGTGAAGATACCATTAGTTGGTGCTAAAACTTTTGAAGGATATGTGAGTACCTTTACGTAATATAAGAATGTGTAAGAAGACAGTATTAAGATCACAGTTTTCAGTCTCCAAACAGACACACTATAAATGTAAGACATAATACTAATTACCATGTCACGTCTTCGCTTCATTGAAGAGGAGAGTAGAGTTTATTTTCAAAAATATTTTTGAAAACAAACTCTGTTAAGGAGAGCCAGCCTATTTTCGGACGTCGTGGCCAATTCCAGACTCCAAGCTATTACTGAGAGTCTTTGAAAATAAAAAGCGAACGTCTAATTCTCGATTGTTAGTTTGCGACTATTCGGTGAATGAGACAATCATAATGTAATTATTTTTACAGGTATCTCTAATGGGCATAGCATCTCCAAATTCTATAGTAATCATCGACTCATTCCGCTATATACCGCCTGGTATTGATGAAAGTTCCTGCCAAGTTTACGAAGAGCTACCGACATTAACAACTACTTCTAAACCGACCACTATTCCAGAAACAACAACAACAATGGAACCAACTACAACTTCAAAATTAACCACCACACTTGAACAACTAACTACTCCGCAACCAACAACTACTCCTGACCCAACAACTATTCCTGAACCTACAACTACTCCTGAACTTACAACTACTCCTGAACCTACAACTACTCCGGAACCTACAACTACTCCTGAACCTACAACTATTCCGGAACCTACAACTACTCCAGAACCTACAACTACTCCTGAACCTACAACTACTCCTGAACCTACAACTACTCCGGAACCTACAACTACTCCTGAACCTACAACTACTCCTGAACCTACAACTACTCCTGAACCTACAACTACTCCGGAACCTACAACTACTCCTGAACCTACAACTCCTCCTGAACCTACAACTACTCCAGAACCTACAACTACTCCTGAACCTACAACGACTCCTGAACCTACAACTACTCCGGAACCTACAACTACTCCTGAACCTACAACTACTCCGGAACCTACAACTACTCCTGAACCTACAACGACTCCTGAACCTACAACTACTCCGGAACCTACAACTACTCCTGAACCTACAACGACTCCTGAACCTACAACTACTCCGGAACCTACAACTACTCCTGAACCTACAACTACTCCGGAACCTACAACTACTCCTGAACCTACAACTACTCCTGAACCTACAACTACTCCGGAACCTACAACTACTCCTGAACCTACAACTCCTCCTGAACCTACAACTACTCCAGAACCTACAACTACTCCTGAACCTACAACTACTCCTGAACCTACAACTACTCCAGAACCTACAACTACTCCTGAACCTACAACTACTCCTGAACCTACAACTACTCCAGAACCTACAACTACTCCTGAACCTACAACTACTCCTGAACCTACAACTACTCCGGAACCTACAACTACTCCAGAACCTACAACTACTCCTGAACCTACAACTACTCCTGAACCTACAACTACTCCTGAACCTACAACTACTCCTGAACCTACAACTACTCCGGAACCTACAACTACTCCAGAACCTACAACTACTCCGGAACCTACAACTACTCTGGAACCTACAACTACTCCTGAACCTACAACTCCTCCTGAACCTACAACTACTCCAGAACCTACAACTACTCCTGAACCTACAACTACTCCAGAACCTACAACTACTCCTGAACCTACAACTACTCCTGAACCTACAACTACTCCAGAACCTACAACTACTCCTGAACCTACAACTACTCCTGAACCTACAACTACTCCGGAACCTACAACTACTCCAGAACCTACAACTACTCCTGAACCTACAACTACTCCTGAACCTACAACTACTCCGGAACCTACAACTACTCCTGAACCTACAACTACTCCTGAACCTACAATTACTCCTGAACCTACAACTACTCCTGAACCTACAATTACTCCGGTACCTACAACTACTCCTGATCCAACAACTACTCCTGAACCTACAACTACTCCGGTCACAACGACCACCACAAAACCATCTACTGATACAGAAGATACAACAAGGTTTTGGACCAAAATAATCATTACCTTGGTACTTCTTTTAAATCTGATAGTGTTTATTTTAACATCTATTATATTTTATGAACTCGGACAAAGGAAGACTTCTATTACTAATATACGATAGATTATTGAATCCTTACACATTTGTTTTATTCGTTTCAAATCAATTGCCACATTGGTTCAAAGAGGATTGGTGATTTCAAACTTATAATTAAAAATTATGAGGACATCATAAAGTTCTCCTTTATAGTATGTCACTGGTATCCAAAATCTGTTACAAATTATACATAATTCGGGATAGTCACATTGGTAATTGCCAGGTTTCTAACTCGCATCCTCATGCATGTCTTAAAACTCCGGGGCACCAGGACGTATATTATTACGATACTATTCGACTATGTTTTTAAATGCACTTATGGCACAGCAGAAAATTCTAGCGTAGGGCAAAATTTCTTTTTAATGACAAAAGATAAGCCAAGGAAAAAAGTTTGGTGATTCTGTAAGTTTGTGGCATCTTATTAGTCAAGCAGATGAATCATTTTTGAAAGATTACTTCGTTATTAAAGTATAGTTACTCGACTTTTTACTATATTCATCAGTAGTTTCCTAGTCGATAAAACGTATTTCTATAAATCGCATTGATTTGATAATTTGAATCCTTTTACTTTGGCGATACATATTGCCTGTAACTATGTACATGTCACACTTGATCATAGCTTCAGTATTTTCTGAAATCCAAGTATACTATAGTATTGCTGTTATCTCGAATAATAGAAACGATTATCTTCGAAACACTTTATTGCATTAACATCACATAATCACTTGAAAATTTAGTATCCCTGTTGAAACAAATTCGCGTCTAATTAAACAAACATTACCTACACGAGACATATGTATGTACCTAGATAAAATATTGAAGTCGATGGCCTAGACGAGTCTTTACTAAATTTGTCTTAAAACAAAGGAAAAATGTATGTAGTTCAAATTCATATCGCCACCAGACTTCCTGACATGGAATTTAATACATTGTGAGTAATCGTGCTTGTCTGATTTAAATTTAACAAAATTACGATTTGTAATTAAATTTGATTATCAAGATGCAGATTAATGCAAATTCTGAGTATTTAATTCTGTTTCAGCATCGTTTTATTTTTGCTTCGTAACGTTTGTCTTAGTAAATACAATGTCTTAATACGACATACGCCGATAGCCTATGGCACAAGTTTGATCTTATCTTGGGTAAGTACCATAGTTTCACCTTAAGTACTCAGTTTTTATATAATGTTGTAACGATTAATGTTATATATAAGTGTGACTACAAATTACCTATGGCAAATAAACATTATTTATTTATTAATTCTTGAACTTGTTGAAATACGTTTGGGATTTTTTTAAACATAGATAATGCATTGACTTACACGCCAATTTTGTTATTTTTGTATAGTATTATCAGTCAAATCTTTATCGTTTTATAACAAACAAATACTATCTTGATCAGATAATTATGAACTGAATTACTATATAAACTTTTGATTGGTTTATATTAGGTAGCTAAACTTATATGTAACGTATTGTTTGCATAAAAAGAAACAAAATGGTTCCTACAACTTTAATCGTAGCCAGTTTTTTAAGTTCCTATGTAATTAGTGATTCCTGTGTGACGTACAATTTTGAAGATAACTTCAATGATATACTAGGTAGCTACGGCATATGTAGCGGCATGCATGCATGGATTCTTGACGAGTACAGCAACTTGAATTTAGACAGTCCAGATGAGCGTAGCACCAAGTTTATTACACCCAGACGTGCTAGTACTGCAAGTTGTTGGTCATCGTTCGTATTTACTGTTGACCCGGATAGTAAACTGGAACTTAAAATATACATGGATTCAGAAGACAGTAATGGTGGTAGCATAAATGTTTTCGTCGTCATAGATGGTACTGGTACAATGGTAGGAATGGATGCCGTAAACTCTGCTAATATAAAAGGGTGGTACACGTGGGAAGTACCAGTGCATCCTTCATCTACAACTCAAGTTTATGTGAGTAATTGTTGTACTTATAAATAATATATTAGTGAATTTATATTTTATTTTCCTTATTTTATTCTCTTTACATGAACTAAAGTTTTAAATAATTGATATGCTGGGAAATAAACTTAATTATTATATCACTATCACTATCACTGGGAACTTTCCCCTGTGATAGTGATGCGGACGAATACTTTGACGCCTAAATTAAGGGTATAATTTTTGTTGTTTTCTTTTACTTTCTTTTTATTTAATATTTTAGTTGTAGTTAATTTTAAGTTGTAAATATTTATGTAGTTATATAATTTTGATGGCAAATAAACAATAAATTAATATAAGAATGTGAAATATTTGGGTGAAATCTTTAAATTTTATCACATAATACTTGTCTTAAAATCTATTCATTATAGGTTTTTCAATAGCTTTAAAAATATTTCGAAGGTGTGAAAACGTGTGCTTAATGATGTCTTACACATTCTGTGATGGCGTGTAATCTAATGATGCATATTTAAATGCTATTTTTGAATAAGCTATGCTATAGACCAGCCTTACTCTAAAAACCTGTGATTATAAAGAAATTTGTAAATAGTATTTCTAAGTCATCTGACATTTTCTTGACAAGTGACTTCACAAGTCAATAGATCTCATACACATGACAGCCAGACCTAAAACAATAATTTGTGGATCACACAAAGATTTGCACCGTGTGGGAATGGAATCTGCTACACGTAGCGGGGCAGTCGGTTACCGCGCAACGTGTAGCGGGCGTGTGTCCGTCGTAGAAATTGTCGGTCCTTCGCCTCCGGAAGATAGGGGTCCAAGTTAGTTCCATCAAAATCGGCCCTCATAGGCGTATGAAATATTGATGGCTTAAATCAATAAAAATAGTATATCAAAATAAAAATGTCATAATTTAATACAATAAAAATGTTAGTGCTTGATTATTAAAATAATTAAAAGTTTAATTTATACACGTACTACTAATTACTGTCATTAAAGAAGTCGTTTACATTGAAATGACATCCCTTCCTATCTCTTAAACCAGTCGCGGAGAACTTAACGGGTAACCGGGGCTCCAGCTCGACGAGCAGGAGAAGGAACGGGGTGGTTTTTAGTCAGTAAGAGTCTGACACTCCCTCCCGCCTCACCCAGGCGGGAGCAGTCATTCGATGATTTTCTCCCCTTAAAAAAAATCTCTTAAGCCACTGAATTCATTTGAATAAAATTTAATACTACTACTAGGTAGAGATCCAGGAAAGGACATCTGGGTGTTTTCAACCCGAAAATCCCACAAGATCGGGAATTATGCGTTAAAATTCCAGCACTCTGTATTTTGTAAAAAACTATTTGATTGAAATTCTTTACAAAAATGATTTGCCAACTTGGGAAAAAAGATAAAATAGTGTTTATCACTGAAACCTCACTGTATAAGTTGAAACCAGGAAAATAAATGCATTTCATAATAAAATAATCCAGGCACTGAATTAATTCTGACGACAATGTTAGACAACGTAGAATATCCCTTGCCAAAGACTAATCCAAAAGCCTTAATTCTGTCGGAGGTCATTATTTTATGATGACGAAGTCGCGGGCAACAGCTAGTTCATAATAATTATTTTGTTTCAGTGTTTATTATATTCGGTATTTTACAAAAATTAAAACGAAAAATACCTCTATACCGTTCGATACATTTGTCGACCGTAGTGCGAGCCATGGTCGACAGCGAGAGTTTCATGTTGGTAAAGGCTGAAAGGGAGAGGGAGGCGTCCAACTCCATCCCTTCCCGCCGTAGACGTGCCGGTCGTCAACGCCGCGAGGTGGTTGCTGATCTGCGACCTCCATAGGAGAGACCCGCGGACGACTGACAAGGAGGTCAGTCATTCGCTATATGGGTGGGAGTAGGCGTTAGCGTTGCTGCGTGGTCCACGCGCACCACTTGAGGAAGAAAATTAGCCTGCAAGTGCTGCTTTGTGGTGGAGCCTGCCGCAATATAGTGGTAGGTCAAAGGAGGAACATCAGGGTGGTTTTAGCCGGTAGGAGTCCGGCACACCCTGATATATGTGATGTTGAAGAAAATGATTCTTTTTTAACGTTTGTTTATTAATATCTTGAAGTATTTTTTGAACAGAGGGCGGAGCACGCGCATTTTTTAATTATTTAGAGCATTGTTTGAGGTCAACCTTTTGTCATAATATAGAAAACATTCATACTTTATTGCACACACAGAAAAAAATTGTAAACATTGCAATAGTAATTTGAGTACAATGGGCGGTCTTATCACACGCGGCGATTTCTTCCAGACAACCTTTGGATGGAATTTTTGAAAAGAATCTGGGAATGGGTGGTAGATGCACAATAAAATAAAACCAAAATAGAAGAAAAACAATAAAAAACAAATTAAACAATCAATGAAACTTACAGACTACATATAATATAAAAATAATAAGATAAAAATGGCAATACTATGTAATAAATATATACTTAAATGTAAAATGATAACTATATATAGTTGCGTGTATGTGTGTGTGTGGGTGTGTGGTGTGTGTGTGTGTGTGTGTGTATGTGATGTGTTTATCCATAATGAAAGGACAAAAGCATAACTACAGTGACAGGTAGTGTTCCTTCACACGTCCTTTAAACTGACCCAGAGTTTGAGCACGTCGCACTTCCACCGGCAGCGCATTCCACAACCGAGCCGCTTGTATTGTGAAGGACTTGTCATAAAAGCAAGTGGAATGCTTACAAATACTGAGCTTAAGATTTTCCGATGATCTCAGGAACTTCGAATGTGTGACACCCAGGAACTGAAAACGTTCCTTTAAATAGAAAGGGGCAGCAGGATTAAAAAGTACATTAAATAGTAACGAATGGATATGAGCGTTCCGGCGAAGGCGGATAGGCAGCCATTTGAGCTTACTACGAAATTCAGAAACATGATCATACTTGCGCAAACTAAATATAAATCTGATAGAAAGGTTATGAAGGCGCTCAAGCTTGTCCAATTGTTCTTGGGTGATATCTAGATAGCTGACATCAGCATAGTCGAGTATTGGTAGAAGAAGAGACTGTGCAAGTGCAATTTTGGTTTTTGTGGGTAAGAAATTACGAAGACGCCTTAAGGAGCCCGCTGAAGCAAACAACTTTCCACTGACCACCTGAAACTATGTAAACAAATAAAAATTATAAATAAATAATACTTGCAATAAAAATGTAAAAAGTTAATTATTTATCGTCATTTCTATTACAGGACAACCTACAATATTTAGGTCTCAAAAAAAGTCACAGGTTTTTAAAATACCGGTTTTGAACCTGTTTATTAGCCGACTATCTCACATGTGGAGGTTAAACCCTTAATTTCGTAGGTTAGGATGACGATGTTGTTATTATCGTAACTAACAATTTTTATTTGTCATGTGTTACAGGTATCTATTATGGGCATGGCATCAGCGAGGTCTACAGTTTTGGTTGATTCATTTCGCAACATACCACCTAGTAGCAATGAAAGTTTATGCCAAATTTACGAATATCCACCGACAACACCTCAACCGGTGACTACAACTGAACCAACAACTACTCCAGAACCAACAACTACTCCTGAATCAACAATTACTCCGGAACCTACAACTACTCCTGAACCTACAACTACTCCGGAACCTACAACTACTCCTGAACCTACAACTACTCCTGAACCTACAACTACTCTTGAACCTACAACTACTCCTGAACCTACAACTACTCCGGAACCTACAACTACTCCTGAACCTACAACTACTCTTGAACCTACAACTACTCCTGAACCTATAACTACTCCGGAACCAACAACTACTCCAGAACCAACAACTACTCCTGAACCAACAACTACTCCTGAACCAACAATTACTCCGGAACCTACAACTACTCCTGAACCTACAACTACTCCTGAACCTACAACTACTCCTAACCCTACAACTACTCCTGAACCTACAACTACTCCTGAACCTACAACTACTCCTGAACCTACAACTACTCCTGAACCTACAACTACTCCTGAACCAACAACTACTCCTGAACCTACAACTACTCCGGAACCTACAACTACTCCGGAACCTACAACTACTCCGGAACCTACAACTACTCCTGAACCTACAACTACTCCTGAACCTACAACTACTCCTGAACCTACAACTACTCCTGAACCAACAACTACTCCTGAACCTACAACTACTCCTGAACCTACAACTACTCCGGAACCTACAACTACTCCTGAACCTACAACTACTCCTGAACCTACAACTACTCTTGAACCTACAACTACTCCTGAACCTACAACTACTCCGGAACCTACAACTACTCCTGAACCTACAACTACTCTTGAACCTACAACTACTCCTGAACCTACAACTACTCCGGAACCAACAACTACTCCAGAACCAACAACTACTCCTGAACCAACAACTACTCCTGAACCAACAATTACTCCGGAACCTACAACTACTCCTGAACCTACAACTACTCCTGAACCTACAACTACTCCTAACCCTACAACTACTCCTGAACCTACAACTACTCCTGAACCTACAACTACTCCTGAACCTACAACTACTCCTGAACCTACAACTACTCCTGAACCAACAACTACTCCTGAACCTACAACTACTCCGGAACCTACAACTACTCCGGAACCTACAACTACTCCGGAACCTACAACTACTCCTGAACCTACAACTACTCCTGAACCTACAACTACTCCTAACCCTACAACTACTCCTGAACCTACAACTACTCCTGAACCTACAACTACTCCTGAACCTACAACTACTCCTGAACCTACAACTACTCCTGAACCTACAACTACTCCTGAACCAACAACTACTCCTGAACCTACAACTACTCCGGAACCTACAACTACTCCGGAACCTACAACTACTCCTGAACCTACAACTACTCCTGAACCTACAACTACTCTAAAACCAACAACTATTTCTGAACCAGAAACTACTGCAGAACCAACCACAACACCGCGGCCAACTACCATAATCGAATCAACAGTAACTAGCCCGAAGTCTACGACTGCAAGTGCTTATGTTAGACCACCTACTGATGCGGGAGATAATACATCGTTTTGGAACAAAATAATCATTACGTTTAATAATAATATAAATGTTAATAATTATTCACATTTAAAATAATTGATATAAAATCCGAAAGTACTTATTAGTTTTAACATGTGTTATGTTTTACAAATTCGGACGAAAAGGGCTGTATTACTTCTATTAGACGCGGAGTTTTTATAAAATAACTCCAATATATAGTATATAGTGAATATTTTTTGGATTTGTATATATTTTCGAAATATAGAATTACAGAATCCATTAGAAATTGTTTTTATCTGTACCGAGTATTATAAAAATAAAGACTTTGACTGCACGATTGGTGCGATGGCTGGGCAACCGGCTGCCGTGCAACATGTCGCGGGTTCGATTCCCGCACGGAACGACACTTTGTGTAATCCACAAATTGTTGTTTCGGGTCTGGGTGCCTTGTGTATGTGAAATTGAATGTTTGTAAACGCACCCACGACACAGGAGATAATCCTAATGTGGCGCAACGTTTAAAAAAATAAATAATAATAAGCAGGGGCCTGCGGACGGCGAGCATGGGTAGCTCGCTACCCGACTACAACCAGACCCGAGCGTGCGACACGTCGCGTTCCATGCGCGCCCCAAAGAGCCATCAGACCACCACAGATGGGGCTCAATAGGGGTGATGCCGATACGGCGCCGCGGAGAACTTAACGGGTTACCGGGGCTCCGGCTCGAAGTGTAGGAGGAAGAACGGCCACCCCGTTCGTTTTTAGTCAGTAAGAGTCTCAAACTCCGTCCAGCCTCACCCAGGCGGGAGAAGTCATTCGATGATTTTCACCCATTAAAAAAAGTCATAACATCCCGCTGCGTCTAATAGGAACAGAGTAAATACGAACGTGACTCGAGCAGATTGACGTTGATTAGAAAAGTATCCAGCTACTCTTACGCAGTCTCATTACCACTCGGTTTCCATTCATTTTCGTATGTTTTATAGCTTCAAACTTTGGTCGATAAATGGACTATCAAACATTAAAAGATGGTTTTCAATTCGAAGCACTAGTTTTGGAGGTCAGTGTGTTTGAAGCGACAAATTCTTCACTCTTTAGTTTTATAATATTGAATACAGAAAAGAATGATTCATCAATCATCAACAGCCTATAAATAGCTGCTGACCAAAGGCCTCTTCTTACACGGACAAGGTTTAAGCATCCCAAGCAAGCGTGGTGATTCCACCACGCTTGCTCAATGCGGGTTGGCGATTTTAAACTTATAATAAGAAATTATAAAGTACAGATTTCCTCACGATTTTTTCTTTCACCGTTTGTCAGTGGTGTCTAAATAACCTTAGAAATTACATACAGTCACATTGGTACTTGTCGTTGGTAAGTTTCCATCCGTCACTATCATCCGTAAGAAGCGGGCGTTTTACATCTCCAAGCCATCTCGACTACAAGAATTGATTAACAATGTAATTTCATATCTGACAGATAAATATAAAACTAAAAAAATAAAACATTTTCTAAATATATAATATACGTAATATGATTAGATGTAAAAGTACGAAATATGAACGCGTCTTAATAATAACCTAATGAACTAAACGAGGTTGTGTATAATGTGGTCGAGGACCGTATACTCGACACTATAGTCTGTTAAAACAAAGGAACAATATTTTGAACTTCAAATTCATATCACTACAATACTTCCTGACATGCAATTTAATATGTTGTGAGTAATTTTGCTTGTCTGATTTATTAGATTTGATAAAATCAGTGTTTTTAATTAAATTTGATTATCAAGATGGTGGTGATTGATATCAAATAGTGAATAGTTAACTGTTTCAGCTTCGGTTTTCTTGTTTCTAATAGAATAGTTTTGTACTTTATTATATATTTTTAGCTTTCTATAAGTCTGGACAAGTGAGACAACATGTGGTGGGTCTATTTGTACTTAGAACCATGTTTTAAACTATTAAGTAACAATTGTATCACATCTGGATGTAACGATCGTGTTAATAAATACGGGAGAAAATTCTAATGAAATAATTTGACCTTTTTGAAATTCCCTAAAAATTTAGAAAATGTTTTAAGTGACAAGCCAATTTTTATTATTTTGTTTATTTTTATTTAGAACTATTAACAGTTAAAATCTTATCGTTTTATTACTCACAAATACATTTCTTGATCAGATAATTATGAATTGAATCACTATATAAACTTTTGGTTGGTTTATATTAGGTAGTTAAAATTAAACATAACGTATTGTTTGCATAAAATGAAACAAAATGTTTCTTAAGACATTAATTATAACTAGTTTTCTAACTACTTATGTTGTCAGTGATTCCTGTGTGACATACAATTTTGAAGAAAACTTCGATGATACAGCAGGTAGCTACGGCATATGTAGCAGCGGCTGGTCTGCATGGGTTCTTGACGAGTACAGCAATTTGAATTTAGACAGTCCAGATGAGCGTAGCACCAAGTTTATTACACCCAGACGTGATGCTAGTACAAGCTGTTGGTCATCGTCTGTATTTACAATTAGCCCGGGTGGTACACTTGACGTTAAAATTTACATGGATTCAGAAGACAGTGGTGGTAGCATAGATCTTTTCGTCTTCTATGATGGTACTAATACAATAGCAGGAATTAGTTTCGTGAACTCTCAGACTATTAAAGGATGGTACACGATGAATGTACCATTATCTACTTCATCTACAATTAATGCCTATGTGAGTAATTTTTCTACTTATTTTATTATCTTACTGAATATATTTGTGGGTGTTTATTATAAATGCGAAAGTTTGTGAGTGTGTATGTGTGTTTGTAGCTCATTAACGCAAAAACTACTAATCGGATTTAGATGAAATTTGGAACAGGTGTAGATATAATACATAGGCCATTTTTTATTCTACGAGAACGCAGGCGAAGCGGCTGGCAGAAGTTAGTATTTTATAATAGCAATATAAGCATGGCACAACTCTGCACCTTCCATCTAAATCTTAAATCTAAAGAAGAGTTGGTTTTATTAAATTTACCTTACTTATATTTTCCTATCGATATTGTCAGTGCATAGAGGGTATTTTAAGTAGTAATTAGTTCCGTCTCCTCATTAAGAGTCGTCTATAGATAGTAGGAATTGAAAACCTCATCGGTGATCACGCAGAACATATTATATTGTTAAAATCGGAACATATTGTAGTAGGTATTATATTTATTTTAAAGAAACTTACAATGCCTACATATCTAGACGGAGTGGTGCATTCATTGTTTTCCCCCGTGTCTTAAGTACATTTGTTTATAAATAGAAGTCCATTTGTAAATACCTATAGCATAGATATACCTATTTCTTATCAACTATTTGGTAATCACACAAATTGATATTACATATAGGAATCGAACCTATAACATTACTACTGTGTAAAAAGCCGTCAAATGAAGTTCTATCTAATATGAATAGATCCATTCATAAAATATTTAGTTATTGTTATAGTGACCAGATTGGCGATATATTAAAGAAGGGCTAAATTAAAAGTACCCTTAACCGCATGGAAAGATTGATGACTGTTGATGAAGCGAAAGAGGTATGTAGGAATCGTAGTAATTGGCGTTCCATAGTAGAGATTGTCTTCTATGGGGGTAGACCTCTCCCTACAGGCGTGAAGTTATGTATTATGTATGCTAGAGACGGGTTACTTACTGTGTCTTGAGTAAATATTTTTTTGTTCTCTTTGTATGATCAAGTAAAAAGTTTTAAACAGTAAGTGATAATGTTGTTGGTATCATTGTAACTAACAATTTCTATTGGTCCTTTGTTACAGATATCCATATTAGGCGTAGCATCAACTAGTTCCACAGTTTTAGTTGATTCACTCCGCTACATACCACCCGGTATGAATGAAAGTTTATGTCAGACTTACGAAGATCCACCGACAACACCTGTGCCGACGACTACTCCTCAACCAACAACTACCCCAGTACCAACAACTACCCCAGTACCAACAACTACCCCAGAACCAACAACCAATGAACCAACGACAACTTCTGAATCAACAACATCTCCGCGGCCAACTACCACTATTGCTCCAACAGTAACTAGCCCGGTGTCTACGACTGCAAGTCCTTGTGTTAGCCCACCTACTGATGCGGAAGATACCACATGGTTTTGGACCAAAATAATAATTGGCTTAATAATTATTTTAAATCTGATTGTGTTAGTTTTAACGTGTATTATATTTTATGAACTCGGACGAAGAAAGGCTGTAGTACCATCTCTTAGACGCGAAGTCTCTACACCACAATGATAAATTCTGTGTATACGACTGTATCCAATATGACTAATGAACCATTTCATTATTTTAGGAGAAAAAGTGTTATCAAATGTATTTATAATTTTATCAATGGATTTTCGAAAGTTGTTTGGCTATTTTTGAATTGTGCCTTAAGGGGTTTGCCAGGAGTTCCATTTCCATCATCTGTAATATTTTAAAAATATTTTATCCTCAAAACTGTGTTTTATTTATTTTTTTTAACTTTTGCCATTAAATTGACAAAGTAGCTTGGATGTGACTTATTAGCCACCGAGAGTGAGGCAGTAACATCCTTCAAACCTTTCAATTTTCAGGATTCAATTTGGAAATTGCAATTCTAGCCTTAAAAACCTTAGAGGGGATCAATGTCCAGCAGTAATGTTCCTTTTTGAAATTCTTATTATGTCACCTCTTCATGAAGACAGATGTGTAAACAACCCTCATTCTTGTTACAAGTCCGATGTAAAAGGGGGTGAGCTTATTGTCATATATCGGACTTAATTTCCGATTGAGTAACAGAAATTTTCTAAGTAATAATACTAAACATCTTATAAATACTGCGTTAAAAAACCGACTTCAAGAAACCCAAAAACTAAAACAAACAAAAAGTAAAAACTTAAAAGCAAAAATAACTATTATTAGTACCTTTTTTTTGAGGGTGGAAAACCATCCAATTACTTCTCCCACCCGGGTGGGCGAGAGGGAGTGTCATACTCTTACTGACTTAAACCACCCCGTTCCTACTCCTGCACTTCGACCCGGAGCCCCGGCAACCCGTTAAGTCTTCCGCGGCTCCGTATCGGCATCAGCCCTGGTGGGCCCCGTCTGTGATGGTCTGAT